GTGAGTGAGTGTGTTTGTGTGTGTGTGTGCGTCCGTGAGTGTGTGTGAGTGAGAGAGAGTGTGTGTGAGAGAGTGTGTGTGTGTGTGCGTGCGTCCGTGAGTGTGTCTGTGAGTGTGTGTGTCTGTGAGTGTGTGTGTGTGTGTGAGACTGACGTCGCTGTGGTCCGTCAGCAGGTCCAGCATGCTCTTCTGGACTCCCAGCAGGTACGGTGTTGGCGCAGCACAAACATCAATCAGAACCGTAGGAACGATTGATATGAACGTGTGCTGCCACACAAACGGATTCAAGAGAGCAGCTACAGCGTGAAGGACCTGCGACAGAGTGCTGAACACACACACACATTAACACATTCATAGTGGTCAAAAAAAAAATTCCATTATGAATATTTTCTTTATTTTTAATCATTATAATTAATAAATACTATAAAATGTGCAAAACATATATGATTATATTGAATATTCATAGAAAATATTTTTATGTACATTACTATTTCTTTATTTTATTATGAATATCTTATTACTTTTAATAGTTCTAAAATGTATTTAATAATTGTAAATATTACAATAAAAGTATTTAACATATGATTAATATTGTAATTGTAAAATAAAAACATTCTTTACAAAATATTTTTAATTATAAAAAATAAGATAATTAATTATCGATATAATAATATTTTTTAAATATTTTCATTTTTATGTAATAAATATTAGTCAATATTTTTATTTTTTAAACGCTTAATATTTAAAAAAATTCTAACATGTATATTTTATATTTAAATTATATTAGTATAAATTGTCTAATGAATAATTTAAAACATGATAAACAATTCTAAAATGTTTTCATTTTATATCAAGTTTTATTTGAATCATTTTAAGTTCTAAATCCTATCAAATATTTAAAATAATGTAAAATTTTGTATGTTTTACATTAATTTGTTTTTACATTAAAAAAAGTACAATATTAAATATTACATTTTACATAAAATTACTATTTTTAGAATTTAATATTTTTAACATGAATATTTTATCATATTGAATAATTTTTAGCTAGATAAAATAATTATTCGATAAATATTATGAATAATTATTCATATATAGTAAATATTACATTCAATATTTTATTTTTAAGATTTTATTATATTTTTATATCAGTATTAAATATTCTAACATGAATATTTTATATTTAATAGTTATTATTATAAGTATTAATATTATAGCGAATAATTATTAATAACAATTATAAAAAAACTAATGATTTCTTAAAAACATATTTTATGCTTTAAGTTTTAATATTTTCCTTATAATTTCTAAATACTACAGAATATTGAATAAATGTGTATGATATATATTAAATATTACATGTTATAACTTATTATATTTATTAATATTCCATTATGAAATTATATAAAAATGTTTTCCGCTTAAAAAAAGATTATTTTTAATCACTATAATTATTAAATACTACATTTAATAAAATATATTAAATATGTATTAAATGTTACATATTTAATAGTTAATTTGTTTAAAGTTTATTATTTTTTAAATATTATACTATGAATACTTGATGTTTAATGAGGATTCATTATTATGCTAAGTATAAATATTAATAAGTGACCCCTGCGCTGTGATTGGCTGCGCTGGTCACCTGAGCTCCTCAGAGATGAAGATGATCCGTCGCTCCGTGACGGTGGCGGCGAACACCATCAGCACCTCCTCGTCGCTCAGGCAGCGGAAGAGCGTGTGGAAGTCCACATGTTCGAGCCAGGACTCTGCGGGCCGCGTCAGACTGATGATCTGAGAGCAGAGGCGTTATCTGTAGCGCTGCTGAGCCGCAAACCTTTGCACAGCAGTCCGACTGAAACGCACCTGGGTTCCGGCGTCCGGGATGAAGCTGCTGACGGTGACGGTGTTTCCGGGCGAGGGCAGCGGCGCCTCCCGCAGGCTCTGCATGAACGGATAGATCATGGCTTTGGAGATCTGCCTGCGCTTCTCCACCTCGTCAAAGATCTGCGCAAACACACACGGGAGTCAGCGCCGACCCGTCTGAGGAGTGTGTGTGTGCGTGTGTGTGTGTGTGTGTGCGCGTGTGTGTGAGAGTGTGTGTGCGCGTGTGTGTGAGAGTGTGTGTGCGCGTGTGTGTGAGAGTGTGTGTGCGCGTGTGTGTGAGAGTGTGTGTGCGCGTGTGTGTGAGAGTGTGTGTGCGCGTGTGTGTGAGAGTGTGTGTGCGCGTGTGTGTGAGAGTGTGTGTGCGCGTGTGTGTGAGAGTGTGTGTGCGCGTGTGTGTGAGAGTGTGTGTGCGCGTGTGTGTGAGAGTGTGTGTGCGCGTGTGTGTGAGAGTGTGTGTGCGCGTGTGTGTGAGAGTGTGTGTGCGCGTGTGTGTGAGAGTGTGTGTGCGCGTGTGTGTGAGAGTGTGTGTGCGCGTGTGTGTGAGAGTGTGTGTGCGCGTGTGTGTGAGAGTGTGTGTGCGCGTGTGTGTGAGAGTGTGTGTGCGCGTGTGTGTGAGAGTGTGTGTGCGCGTGTGTGTGAGAGTGTGTGTGCGCGTGTGTGTGAGAGTGTGTGTGCGCGTGTGTGTGAGAGTGTGTGTGCGCGTGTGTGTGAGAGTGTGTGTGCGCGTGTGTGTGAGAGTGTGTGTGCGCGTGTGTGTGAGAGTGTGTGTGCGCGTGTGTGTGAGAGTGTGTGTGCGCGTGTGTGTGAGAGTGTGTGTGCGCGTGTGTGTGAGAGTGTGTGTGCGCGTGTGTGTGAGAGTGTGTGTGCGCGTGTGTGTGAGAGTGTGTGTGCGCGTGTGTGTGAGAGTGTGTGTGCGCGTGTGTGTGAGAGTGTGTGTGCGCGTGTGTGTGAGAGTGTGTGTGCGCGTGTGTGTGAGAGTGTGTGTGCGCGTGTGTGTGAGAGTGTGTGTGCGCGTGTGTGTGAGAGTGTGTGTGCGCGTGTGTGTGAGAGTGTGTGTGCGCGTGTGTGTGAGAGTGTGTGTGCGCGTGTGTGTGAGAGTGTGTGTGCGAGAGTGTGTGTGTGTGTGTGAGTGTTTCCTCACCTTTGAGAAGAGTCCGAAACACGCCACGCTGCTGATGATGCAGTACGCCTCTGGAACACGAGCGCCGCGGCCGTCCGGCTGACAGAGAGCGAGAGAGAGAGCTCATGAATTATTCAGCAGCATTCTGATCATATGCTAATGACATCCGCTTTCACTGATGGTCATTTCATAATTTATAATAATAGAGTGAATAACTATTAAAAATATTAACATTGTAATTATAAAATGACAAAGTTTTTCATTATAAACACTTTTTATTTTCATTCATTATAAATAAAATAAATACTATATTTAATGCATATGTAATTCTATATCTTCAATATTTTTAAATGTTTTATGTTTTTAAATATTCTAAACTATTTCATATTTAATAATTATTATAAGCTTTTAATATATATTCTGAAATATTTCATATTAAGTATAATTATTCTAATGAATAATTATAAAAAACATATTAACATAATGATAAATCATCATTATAATTACTAAATACTATAGAATATTTAATGTGATACATATTAACAATTACATATTCAATATTTTTATTTTAAACTTAATATTTTTAAATATTCTAATATTTCATATTTACTCATTCATTATTATTATTATTATTAATTTAGTATTAATATTCTAAAGAATAATTATTAAAAATGTATGATCAACATTTATCTTTATACAGTGATCTTACATCACTTTTATACATCTTCTAAAAGATTCATTTGAAACTATTGGTTCTAGAATTCTTGCAATTATTAATAGTAGCCTGGACTCGGGAGTTGTACCGAAGTCTTTTAAACATGCAGCAGTGGAACCAGTAATCAAGAAATCTAATTTGGATTCATCAGTTTTTGCTCATTTTAGACCTCAAAACTTCCGTTTCTTTCCAAACTACTGGAGAAGGTTGTATTTGGACAATTGAATTCATTTCTAGATCTACATGGTATTCACGAAGTGTTTCAGTCTGGTTTTAAATCTTTACATAGTACAGACACTGCACTGTTGAAGGTTTTTAATGACTTGTTACTTGCTACTGACTCAGGGGACTGTGCGATTTTAATTCTATTAGACCTTTCGGCTGTATTCGATACTGTAGACCATAAGATCTTGATTACACACTTAGAACATTGTGTTGGTATTAAGGGCACTGCGTTGGGATGGTTTAGATCCTATTTGTCCAAAAGAAGAACTTTCTCAGTTCGTTTTGGAGACTTTGTCTCCTCAACTGCTTCTTTCACGTGTGGGGTCCCCCAGGGCTCCATTTTGGGGCCTATTTTGTTCTCCCTGTATATGCTCCCCTTAGGACATATTTTTAGGAAATTTGGTATTTCTTTTCATTGTTATGCAGACGATACGCAAATTTATCTGCCTTTGAAATGAAAAGATACTTGCTCTTTAGCGCCCCTATTGCAGTGTCTTGAGGAAATTAAGGCCTGGATGGCACTAAATTTCCTTAATTTTAATGAAAATAAAACAAGTTATACTGTTTACGCCGGGAGGTACTTGTGAGTCATCAGATTTAGACCTTGGTGAATTGAAACCACTTGTGAAGCCCTATGTAAAAAATTTACGTGTTATCATGGATTGTGCTTAAACTTAATTTTTATAGTCTGGCATTTGATGCTACATGAGAGCTGCTTTCTTTTACTGTCTCTATGGTGTCTTATTGTCTTCTTTTGTGTTGTTGACCGTTTGTATCATTGATATTTTTATTCTTTTATTTGTGTACAGCACTTTGATAAACACTTGCTGTTTTATAAAAAGTTCTTTATAAATTGACTTTGATACAGTGCTAAAAAAATTCATTATAAATATTTTCTTTACTTTTAATTGTTATAGATACTAAATAATAGGAAATGTTTAAAATAACAACATGTAAAATAATTATATTAAATATGACATTTTACATAATATTATTATCATTTAATATTTTTACTGTGAATATTGTGTGATATTTAATAGTGCGTGAAGTTCACCAGCAGTCTCCTGCAGTATCCGTTCCTCCTGCTGCCATCAACTTCAGTCAGAACGAACGAGAACGTCTCACTGCAGAGAGTCAACAAACCAGAGTTTCAGTAACGCTCTCCAAACCAACACACACTTCCTGTAGATGAAGACTGAGATGCTCAGATCTGACAGGAAGTTCAACAGTAACACACACTGATGATGAACACACTGATTAAACACGGCAAAACACTGTCAGAGCGCAAGAGATTCAGTCCGAGATTCACAGTCAGAGATTCAGTCAGCGAATCAGTCAGAGATTCAGTCAGAGAATCATTAAGAGATTCACAGTCAGAGATTCATTCAAAGATTCACAGTCAGATTCAGAGTCAGAGAATTATTCAGAGATTCATTCAGAGAATCAGTCAGAGAATCAGTCAGAGAATTATTCAGAGAATCAGTCAGAGATTCACTCAGAGATTCACAGTCAGAGAATTATTCAAAGATTCATTCAGAGAATCAGTCAGAGAATCATTCAGAGAATCAGTCAGAGATTCACAGTCAGAGAGTCATTCAGATTCAGTCAGAGATTCACAGTCAGAGTCATTCAGAGATTCACAGTCAGAGATTCAGTCAGATTCACAGTCAGAGAATCATTCAGAGATTCAGTCAGATATTCATTCAAAGATTCACAGTCAGAGAGTCAGTCAGATATTCATTCAGAGATTCACAGTCAGAAAATCATTCAGAGATTCACAGTCAGAGAATTATTCAGAGAATCATTAAGCGATTCATTCAAAGATTCACAGTCAAAGAATCAGTCAGAGAATCATTCAGAGATTCAGTCAGATTCACAGCCAGAGATTCATTCAAAGATTCACAGTCAGAGAGTCAGTCAGAAAATCATTCAGAGATTCAGTCAGAAAATCATTCAGAGAATCATTCAGAAATTCACAGTCGGAGAATCATTCAAAGATTCATTCAAAGATTCACAGTCAGAGAGTCAGTCAGAGAATCATTCAGAGATTCACAGTCAGAAAATCATTCAGAGAATCATTCAGAGATTCATTTAGAGATTCACAGTCAGAGATTCATTCAAAGATTCACAGTCAGAGAGTCAGTCAGAGAATCATTCAGAGATTCACAGTCAGAAAATCATTCAGAGATTCATTTAGAGATTCACAGTCAGAGATTCATTCAAAGATTCACAGTCAGAGAATCATTCAGAGAATCATTAAGAGATTCACAGTCAGAGATTAGGCTTGTTTGAGATGCGCCTGATTCATTCAGAGATGCACAGTCAGAGATTCATTCAAAGATTCACAGTCAGAGAGTCAGTCAGAGAATCATGCAGAGAATCATTGAGAGAGTCATTCTGAGATTCACTTGGAGAATTATTCAGAGAATTGTTCAAAGATTCAGTCAGAGAATCAGTGAGAGATTCACAGAGAAAGTTTGTGGTTTTCAAATCTGCTATGTTAATGACTTGAATGTTTGTCTCATTTTGAAGAATGCTGGTGACCAAACTTGATTGACGGTAGCCATTGACTTCCACAGTATATATATTTATTTTACCAGCAGCTGTTTGGTTCCCAACATTCAACAGAATATCTTCTTTTGTGTTCAACACAAGAAAGAAACTCATTCAGGTTTGGAACAACATGAGGGAGTGAATTTCCATTTTTGTGTGACCTGCCACTTTAAGAGAAATCATGACTGTCTGATGACCGTCTCAATCTCGCAGCTCCTGCAGGCGTTTCCTGTTTCCATCAGCCTCAGCGTGCAACAGCAGAGGTGAAAGTGTCACACCGGATGAGTGTGTGTGTGTGTGTGTGTGTACCTCCTGTATTCGGTCAGAGGAGCCCAGTTGATTCCCTCTGGGAAGCAGAAGAGATGAGCGGCCTTCATGCACTTCTCCTCTTCCTCACGCTGCAGACGGCCCATCACCTCACGCTACACACACACACACAATGCATTCATCATTTTTAGAAATATTAAAAAATGTAATATTATTTGGGTGTTTTCACACCTGTAGATCGATTGCTTTGTTCCGAAACAGGGATTAAAATTATTACAATCTTATAATTGTAATTGGCGAAGACGTGCTCACCCACAGACATTCACAGGTTCATTGTGAACTTGTGTGGGGCTCGTAACCTTCCACGTTCCTCTTCTTCCTCAGACTGACAACCAGCAGATACTCGAAGAACAGCTGACCCATGTGACTGCGCTCCCGTCCTGCAGGAGGCGCCGCGGCCGGAACCGGATACACGCCGGGATCAGAGGAGCTGCGCTCTGAACACACACACACACTCTCGTGTGACATTTAACGACAGATGCTTCTGAGAAACACGACTGCCAAACCACAGGCAGAACAATGAGGAGGTGAGATGCTCACAAACACGCTTTGTGCTGCGAAACCTCAGAGGAAACAACACTGGAGCATCTGACAGCGTCTCCACAACATCACATTCAGTTCTCACTCATCACACACCAGCTCTAGAGACTAAACAAACAGCACTTCAACTCAACATGGACTCCTCACTTCTCTCATCAAATCTGCTGTTTAATTCATAAACGCATGGCATTACAGAGCCTGAACTCATGCTGATCTGATTCCTCAACTCTTTATATTCTCAGTCTCTGGAAAACTGACAAAGCCTCCTCTGCTGACACTGTCAGAGATCACAATCAGAGATATATACACCATTTATAAAGGTTTACTAATACTGAAATAATATTTAAAAAATGCAAAAAAGTAAATACTTAAGAAAAAATATATTTCCTATTAATGAAAAACATAAATATATAAACATATAGATAAATTGTGATGTTATAAGTACTATTTTCTTAAATGTACAATATTTAAGTATGAATTTGAATCAGAAATTACAGGTAGATTACACACACACACATATGTGTGTGTGTGTGTGTGTGTGTGTGTGTGTGTGTGTGTCTTCAAGTCTCACTTCTACAACAGAAGACATTCATCTGTCACACACTTCAGGAGTTTCTAATCGCGTTTACAATCGTTCAAAGCGGCAATTAATCCACTCACGTTATTCTGAGTGCTTAAAATGAGTTTTTTTCTTTCTACAGGTTATCTTAAGGGTTTTTCCATTGTTTTAATTTCAATTTGTTAGTTTAATTTAGTTTATTTTCATATAAAAATATGGCATGCGGTTGCTTCAGATAATGGTATAAACATCACTCAATGTAAACTGTGATAATCGTAATTAATATCGCAATTGCAAGTTCAAGGGAATAATCGACAGTTTTGATTTTTTTGTCATAATCGTGCAGCTCTAATAATAATACAATGTTTTGGACCTTATCATGATTGAAATGCCATGTTTTTATTTTAAATATACAGAGGCAAAACCATGTCGACCATATAATGATGGTAATACCATTTTTATTACACTTACCATGGTAATACCATGTTTTGGACCATATTACAGTGGTAATGCTATGTTGTCATTTATCACGGTTATACCTCACTTAGGACATTAGGATGGAAATACCTTGTTTTTTTTACATTTTCCCTGGCAATGCCATTTTTTGGACATTTACCATAGTAATTCAATGTTTTGGATCATATCACGATTTAAATGCCATGTTTTTGATATTTTTTGAGCATTTTTGAGACATTTACCCAGGCAATACCATGATTTGGACCTTATTATTAATGTAATGCTGTGTTTTCTTAAATTTACCATGGTAATACCATATTTTGGACCATATCATCATTGAAATGCCATGTTTTTTTTATTTATTTGTATCTTTTTTACATTTACCATAATAATACATTGTCTTGGACCTTATCATGATTGAAATGCCATGTTTTTTGTCCAAGATATATATATATTTTTTTACATTTACCATGTTAATACCATATTTTGGACCCTATCATGAAGGCTCTGCAGTGTTTTCTGGCATTTACCATGATTATACCATGTTTTGTTCCATATCATAATAGTAATGCCATTGTTTTTTTGTTTTTTTTTTACTTTTTCCATGATAATACCATGTTTTTTCATGATTGAAATGCCACGTTTTTGACATTTACCATGGTAATATAATGTTTTGGACCATTTTTTTTCTTTTCTTTTACATTTACTTTATTTTGTGTGTGTGTGTGTGTGTGTGTGTGTGTGTGTGTGTGTCTTCAAGTCTCACTTCTACAACAGAAGACATTCATCTGTCACACACTTCAGCTTAGAAAGTTCAGACAGCAATTTACTGAGTGTGTGTGTGTGTGTTTTCTGCTGAAGGTGCCAAAATTGGCCTCACAATGCAAACCTGACTTTAATCCTCATTATGAGGACATGTTCATTCAAACAGCTAAATAAACACACTAAACAAAATATTAAGCGTATAAAATTTATATTAAGCGTATAAAACTGAAAAATGTTCTCTGTGAGGACATAACATATAACACAGCGACATGTGAGTGTGTGAGTGTGTTTATATGTGTGTGTTTGTACTCACTGTCGGCGGTAGTTCGCTGTCCTGTCCTCGTCTTGTCTCTGCTCTTCACACACACACACTCACACACTGCTGTATGTCTGACACACACACAGACTGTAGGGATTCTCAGGGGCGGAGTCACCGCGCGAGGACACGCCCACACAGAGGACACGCCCCGTTCGTTATCAGAGCGTTTATGTACTTGATATGATTGGTGCCATAATAATCTTCTGCTGAGATGTGATTTTAAATTTGATAAACTGCCAGCGAAATGGATTGTTCCTGTGATTTCTGTTCAACAGAAATTAATCTATAATCCACTTGGTTCGTAGGTGTATACACAAAGAAAAAAATAATAATGATGATGATGATGATAATAATTTGAGTTTTCTTGTACAACTTGTGAGTAATAAATATAAAAAATAGAAAACATAATTTAGGCATATTTATATATTTATTATTTTGATATATTTAAGACATGTATTTCTTCTTAATAATGAGAAATACTTGTTTAATAAAAATAATTAATTCATTAATTCATTCATTCATTCATTTTAGGAACACACATGTATTTCCACATAAACTAATTAAACGTAATCATTTGTAATAAAAAAACTAATATTACCATATAGTAATTCAATGTTTTGGAGCATATCACGATTTAAGCGCGGACTACAAACGTTCACGCGCGCGTCGCACACGCTCTATGAAGTCAAGAGGTGCGACAGCGCGAAATTACTCAAACTAAACTGAAATAAAAATGAATTAAAGCTAAATATAAATATTTACAGTCAGTAACTAAACTAAAACTATTAAAAATCGTTTGGTTAGCATGTTACTAGCATGTTTCTAACATGGTTAGCATGTTGTTAGCATGATTAGCAAGTTATTAGCATGATTAGCATGTTACTAGCATGATTTTAGCATAATTAACAAGTTACTAACATGTTGCTAGCATGATTTTAGCATGATTAGCATGTTACTAACATGGTGTTAACATTTTGTTAGCATGATTAGCAAGTTACTAGCATGTTTCTAACATGATTA